CCCCCCCCCCCCCCCCTCTCTAATCGTCGTGAGACCACGTGGTTTCAGATCTTGCATACCGATCAGCGGCGAAGGAACAAAGGTAAAAAAGAGCTGGCTACAAGACGGCAGCAGAAAACATTTCCCCCCATTTCTTCCTCTTCTTCAATGGCGGGACCAATTTAGGTTTTTTTACATGGACCTAAGCTTTGGGTGAGACTATTCATATATATCGGAATGAAATTGGGAGTTTTAGTTTGTTTTTCTTTAGCTTGGGGTGATTCCTGGTTTTGATTTGTACTTTGAAGAGAAGATAAAATTGATTTGACGTGATAAACTAGACAGGTCAGAGTGTTAGACAATGAAGCCTGAGCCCTTAGGGGAAGGGAAAAAGTGGAAACTCATCATATTTTTTACTTTACATTAAAACCCGTGCCAAGTCAAAACGAGAAATTTCAACTCGGACGGAGGGAGTATTACTCTAGAATTGTGCAATCTGAGTTATGATTCTCAATTTACAATCTTCCATCCCCTCTTCTATCTAGCTAGAATCTCGATCTTAACAACCTTGCATGCATCTGTGCACTCATTAGTTGGCATGAAATGTCTTTGATGCAGGTGTTTTTCAGCATGTTAGTGTTAGTGAGGGCTATTTCTCTTGACTTACCACTATGGCATCGCATTCTTGAAATTCTGAGGGTAATTCCAAAATTTGCTCACTGTCAGATCTGAAAATGACTTCCACATGTACAAACCAATATCTAGTAATTTGAACCTTTGAAACATGCAGGGTTTTTGTGTTGAGGCACACACTTTGCGAATACTTTTTCAGAATTTTGACATGTATGTTTATCTGCCTGGGTGTTTCTTTGGCACAAATTTGAAACCTTTAAATTTGCAGGGAATTTCTATTATGAAGTCAATCCGGATGACTACTAGAAGATTTCATGTTGTTCCACTGTCAAGCAAATGTGGGACAAGCTAGAAATCACATATAAAGGTACGGATCATGTCCAAGAAGCTAAAATAGATTTTTTAACCCACGAATATGAATTATTTCTTATGAAGGAGAACGAGAAAATCAACGATATGTTTGAACGATTTGCAAAATTCATAAACGATCTTCGCGCTCTCAAGAAGACACATACGGGCAAGGAGCTTGCGAGAATAATCGTATGGAGTCTCACACCGGAGTGGCGTTCCAAGGCCAATGCTGTTCAAGAGTTCATCGGCATCACCAACGTTACCATCGATGGTAATCTCAAAACCTACAAGTCTACTATTCTCTATCCCTCTCTAGTTGAACAAAAAAGAAGGGGATTGCACTCAAGGCTTCTAGAAGCTAAGAACATGCCGTGGAGGACTGTAGTGACGAAGAGAACGAGTTCGGGCTCGTGATTAAGAAGTTTCATAAGTTCATGCATAAAGAGTATGAACAGAGAGGAAAGAAGCTAAGCAAGAAGGACCACCCAAATGCTATGGGTGTGGAGAAGTCGGGCATATCAAACCAAAATGCCCAAATACCAAAAATGAGAAGGAAAAGAAGATGTTCAAAAAGCACTGTGCATCCATTTATTGTGGAGGAGATTCCGGCAATGAGTCTTCGTATGGCGAAGAAAACGAGAGCGCTAACCTTTGCCTCATGGCACATGAGAAACCACCAGAGTTATGTACCACTTCTTCTAAAGAACCTTATACTTTTGATGATATGCAAGACGCTTTTAATGAACTTTACGATGAGTCCTAATAGAACAATAAAACAATAAGACGCT